TTAAAAAATTGATTATAAATATTTAATTTTATTAATTATTTGTTATGTTGTATTTCAATCATAATATAAAATAGCAGCATATTATAATGTAAACTGATCTTTGTGTAGTATTTTTTATAAAATGAGAAACCTTTTTAATATAATTCATAAGTATTTAATACTTATGTAATAATGTTTATTGTTTAATGACTAATGACTGATGAGTAATGTTGATCTTATAATATTTTATTTAAATTGTAGACGTAATAGACTAGAAATGTACATGATGTGAGCAGCTCGGCGCTCGTATAGTGGAAGAAGCCACGCAATGAAATTATTTGTGTTATTAATCTATTGTTTATAAAAATAGATTTCATACAAAATAAAATAAATACATCTTCAAATATAATAAGTAATAATGATAGCTCTCGGATTTTAATATATCTAAAATATTGTTTCCAATAATTAATGTATGGCTTATCTGTATATTATAAAATCAATGGTAGTACTGTACAGTAAAGTTTAAAATTATTTGATATAAATGCACCTGTTTCATCATAAGATACCTTTAAAACTTTCTACAAATGATATTTAATCGTATTTTATTTTATCAAAACATTTGAACTATTCAGCGATAACCGGTAGGTAATGTATTAATTACCCGGTTAATGTACGAAGTCAACATTTTATAAATATGCAATAGGCGCGAGTAGCATACACTACCTGTTTTTCATACTCTATCCATAACATATATATTTCAAATAAAATAAAATCCTATAATATTTTGTTAAGTATAAAAATAATAAACATAATATAGGTTAGTGCTCTAACTATTGTAATATTATTTTCATTTAATGCATATTCTGTATTTAGAGAAGTTCAATAGTAAAAAACCCAAAGTTTCAGGTAAATATCATCTATGATTACATAGTATGTTTTAATATGTTTTTGTTCCTTCTGTATTCCCCGCAAATCCCACGACCCCTCCCAGCACCACACTATCAATCATGTGCATAGCCGTCCCCCTCCACCCATCCATTTAATGAATACGTGTACATTTTAACTAATGGGCTATTTAGCAGACACTTTCTTATTCACACACATGGGTCTGAAATTATTGCATAATACTGTTGTACTCTATGAATAAATATATTAAATAGTAATAAGTATATATATTACTATTTTAATAATCATAATATGCATAGATGGAATATATAGGTATTAGAGCCCTGCGCGGGCCGGGCCGAGCTTGGTGTCACCGAAACCGGGTTCGGGCCGGGCTTGATCCTTCATTTTATTGTTAGTTGGTCGGACAGGGCCCCGAACCAATACATCTTTGTTTAAATGGGCAAATTAGGGTTTTGTTTATGATAATAATAGATAAATAATTTCGTTTATCATTTAATTTCTATTAACAAAACAAATTATCGATGACCGAAAATTCGGAAATACGTATTTTACAGTAATCTATTTATAACTCTGGGAATACTATTCTCTTTCTCAATAGTATAGCCCGTATTTACTCAGTTATCATTTTATATTACTGACCAATGGGATGAGTTTAAAGTATTGACAGTTTATATGGATTTTCTAATGTTTATTATTTTGATTTTATTTTTGTATTTCGTATTGCTTATTGTAAATAATGATTGAAGTGCGTCGTGCGTAAATCGTAATGCATACGTATATTGTGCAGTGTCGTGTGTGTATCGTGTGATGAAGACGGGTAGAATAACAACAACTGGAGTAGATATTTGCATAATTTTACTATCTTTAAAATTTGTAGGTAGTAAGTACTAGGTACTAAATATTTATTGGAATAAAAAGAAAAAGAAAATATGAAAATATATTAATTTAATTAATTATTTATTCATAAAAATCTACATGATAGTCATAATATGACCTAACATTAGAGTTCATATTTTTGCTTCTATCTATTCTATTTTTCTATCTATCTAACTTGAAGATAGTTCCACTTTTCACAGTAAAATTTCTTTTGCATGTAAAATCATATTTAAATTTAAGAGGTGCTATATAGAAACATATTTTTTCTATATTTAACAACAGTTTGTTCAGAACATTTTCAACTTATTAAGAGAATATTATCATCTTGTTTTGCCTATTTCAAGAAATTATAATTTATTATTCTTTTTCTTTTATCATATAAGTAGGTACTTAAAAAGAGATACCATTTTATAAATTGGTAAACTAAAATTGTTTTTATTTAATTTATTGTATGTTTTATTTTGGTAATTAATACCTAATTATAATAAACTTACTAAAGTCTAAAATGTGAATAATGTGGTCTAAATTATTTTTTCAAGCTATTTTAAAGAAAATTATTAACCTATATTTTTTCAAAATTACTATACCACAGAAGTCAACTAACGCAAGTCTATTTTTTGAAATTTTGAGTTAGTTTTATAATCAGAATATATTTTTTGTGATATTTTTAAAGGTATTAAAACGTAAATCCTATATATATAATAAATGCATAGATAGCAAAAAATATACTAACTTATGTCCTAAACTATGATAGAAGTATTGAAACGTATGTCCAGCTTGATAGTTGACTTCTGAGTCAAAATAGGAAGACGAAATAACATTGTTGAAATATACGAACGTAAGTCCCTTTACGATAGTTTACCTCTAGCACTGATAAGAATGGCATACTGTTAACATCACATTTTTTACTTATCATAAGTCCATTTGCCTATCAGTAATTAACTCGCCAAATATATGTAATTGTTATCATATTTATTTTTAGATATAAATTATTCTTTATAAACATTATTATATATTATGTTAGATGATTAAACATAAAATTGTTACATATTATAATTTATTAATTATTTTAGTATTATAATTTTATTAATGTATAAGAATGCAATCAAGTCGCACAAAACACATTTATAAATTAGCTACAAATAAAAAAGGTGTTCATGATGTGAGTATAAATATTATTTTCACGAATAATGTTTATTATCATTAAGGCTTTTATTAATTATTTTTATATTATATGAATTATTGTAATATTCATTATAGGTATTTAAAGATACACATATTTTGTCTGACTGTTCTATACCATCAACTACTGAAACTACTGTTAACAAACATAAAACAAATAACAATATCAGTAATTGTGATGATGTTCTTACACATCATGTAATTTACCAGTTTACAGTATAACAGTAAGAAACCATATTTAGTATTAAAGATATTATATTATGATATGAAATAATAATAGCTATAGTAAGAATAATAATCATGATACTATAGTTAAGTAATGTTTAATTGTTTTAGGAAGATGAAAGATAAAAAAGTGTAGATTCCTGGTTAGAATCACAACAACCCAGTACATCTCAGCTTTGAATATGGTATCATACTATTTAGTCCGGTTAACAATATAATACCTAATGAGAAAACTGTAAGTTATAATATTAATAGGCTAAGCGAGGATTTGGTTATAGTCCAAACTGAAAAAAGTGATTACTGAGTTAACAATGGTTCTGATGAAGATCGAACATTTATGATCAATAATGTTGATAGAACAAGTACCTGTAGTGAAAGTCTCAGTTGTATAGTTCAAGTACCAATTAATTCTACTGTTATTACTGAAAATAATACAGACTTTATTATAAATGGAGTAGTGAATTATCTAGTCAAAGAAGTTTGTAAGAAAAATAAAAGCCGTAAGAGATCATGTGATCTTACACCTTGAAAGAGTAATATAAGAAAAAAAAATTGGCTTCAGGAATGTCATATTTGTCAAAGAAAGGTAATAAAATTATTCAATGCAAAAAATTAAAGACTTCTTGTGTAAACTGTAAAAAAAGTGCAGTGAAAAAATAGATGAACATGATGGAAAAAAAATATTTTTTACATTTTGGGATGGAGATAAGTATATACATTTGAAGAGACAATACATTACTACTTGCATTGAAGAAAAATGTGTGGATAGAAAACGAGAACGTAATAGAAGTCGTGCTAGTGTAAGACAAAAGAGTTTAATTTATTCATTTGAAATTTAAAATGTGAACACAGGAATAAAAAATAAAATTGATGTGTGCAAAACATTGCACCTTAATACATTGAATATATCAGACATGTTTGTTAGAACTGCTTTGAAGAAAAAAACAAATGGTGGTATGATTTCTCTTGATAGAAGGTATTATCATGTCCCTCCAATTAAAATAAGTGATGACATAAAAGATGGTGTAAAAAAACATATTGAGTCATTTCAAGCAATTGAAAGCCATTAAAGCAGAGATAAAACTGTTAAAAATATTTAGGAAATGAACTAAATATATCAAAAATGTATAAACTACGTATATGTTGCCAACATAAATAACATTAAGTGCCAACGGGTAATATAGCTAAGCATTGGTTGTACTCTGAGATTTTCAATAATGAGTTTAACTTAGCGTTTAAAGAGCCTGCTAATGATTCTTGTGACATTTGTGATGAATTCATAATAAAAATAATTAACCAAAGTAAAAAAGCTTGTCTACAAAAAAATTATGAAGTTTATCTAGATCAGTGGTTTTCAACCTGGGGGTCGCGAATGATAGGTTTGGGGGTCGCCAAAAATAATAAATGAAATGATTTTTCCATTTTATTTAAAAATAAAATAAAGTTAATTTTTAATTTTGTTTCATATAGAGAATTATAGATTATAGAACATGCTGAGGAGCGTATAATCTTAATTTCTTATTTCGTATCTTATCGATAGCGGATATGGATTATTAAATTGTTCGTAACTCGTATCATATACATAGGTATATTTGAACAATTTTAGTCGCAAATATTTATAATAATCAGTTCCTACTTAGGTGTCATTCGTGCAGTACATGTATCTCACGCGATATAAAGTACGTTACTATACTGTTTTAAAATGGAAAAATTTTTAATTAAACGCGCAAGTACAAGTGCAAGTGCAAGTGAAAATAAAAAACGTAAACTGTCGGAAACAATAACGGACCAGCCTATCAACGAGGAATTGGAAGAAAAAAAAACTTAAAATGTTGAGAACCAAAAAAAAGAACGTAAATATCAAGATCAGTATATACAATTTGGATTTACTTTTATTGAAGAAAAAGGTAAACATCGTCCTAAGTGTGTAATATGTTTAAAAATATTGGCTTCCGAAAGTATGAAACCCTTCTAAACTTAAACGACATTTAGAAACGAAACATCCGCAATATAGTAATAAAGATGAACAATTTTTTAAAAGACATGAAAATGCATTAAAGGTTCAAAAAAAACTTATACAGTTTCACAAAAAGCTTTAGTTGCATCATTCGAGGTTTCATTCTTAATAGCAAAAACAAAAAAACTGCATTCGATTGGCGAATCTCTTGTCTTGCCAGCTGCTATAAAAATTGTAACGGCTATGCACGGTGAGGCATATGCAAATGATTTAAAATCAATTCCATTATCTGATAATAATGTATCACGTCGGATTTCAAACATATCTGATGATATATTAAAACAACTTTTAAATAGATTGTGAAGTAATTATTTTGCAATGCAACTGGACGAATCTACAGATATCTCCAACTTTTCTCAACTTCTTGTCTATGTCAGGTTTATTTAGAAAGAAGACATTTTAGAAGACTTTTTATTATGTCAAACTTTAAATGGCAGGACCACTGGTAACGACATATTTACCCTTATTAATGAATTTTTTGAAAATAATGAAATTTCGTGGTCAATGTGTAAGGCCATTTGTACAGATGGTGCAGCAGCACTTACTGGATCAAAGAAAGGTTTTAAAGCTAAAGTTAACGAAATTTCATCAAGTATACTATTTACTCATTGTATGATTCATAGGGAAGCTTTAGCATCTAAAAAACTTGAACCATTTGTCAACGAAGTACTACAAGATGCTATACGTGTAATTAACTTTATAAAATCAAAATCATTAAATTCTAGAATATTTACGATACTATGTAATGAAATGGGATCTGATCATACAAAACTACTACTTCATACTGAAGTTAGGTGGTTATCCCGTGGTAAAATATTATTAAGAATTGTTGAGCTTTAAGATGAAATACGAATTTTTCTCCTTGAACATAAAAATACACTCGCAGAACACTTCTTAAATGAAGAATGGTTAGCAATTTTAAGTTACCTTGCCGATATTTTTGAAAAATTAAATAATTTAAATTTAAGTCTTCAAGGTAAAAATACAAATATATTAATTCTCTCCGATAAAATCGATGCTTTCAAAAAAAAATAAATTTGTGGATAAATTATATTAATAATGAAAACTTCGAAATGTTTTCATGTTTTTCAGAAGTTATTGCTGACAATGAAATATTTAATATTAAAAAAATAAAAGATATAATATTACTTCATCTCAAAAATTTGGAAAACCATTTTAACACACGGTTTGAAAAGTTTCCAGAAAAAAAGTTGGGATGGATAAGAAATCCATTTTCTATTAATATAAATGAAATGAATTCTGAATTAAGTTTAGTTATGAACGAGGAATTAATTGAGTTATCTGCCGATGAAAATCTGCGTATAAAATTTAATGAAACTACAAGTGATAAATTTTGGATTTCTATAAAATCAGAATACCCAGAATTGTCAAAAATAGCTGTATCAACACTTCTGCCATTTACAACCACTTACCTTTGTAAAACGGCGTTTTCAGCTCTTACAGTTATAAAAAACAAATATCGGACAAAATTAAACTTAGAATCAGATCTAAGAGTTGCAGTCTCTAATATAAAACCTAATATGGAAACAATCATTTCAAAAGCTCAAGCTCAAGTATCCCATTAACAACAGTTTATGTATTATGTATTTTTTTTTTTTATATTTAAATTTATTGTATATGCTTGAATTGTTTTAAAATAATGTTGTATTATGAATTAATTAAATTTTTAAGTATAAATTAATCAAAATCGTATAACATATAAATATTTTTTCAGTAATTAAATCAAATTTTGATGAATAAAGCAACATTTTTTTTTGAAGGGGATCGCAGTACAAAAAAAAATACAAATTGGGGGCCGCGACCCAAAAAAGGTTGAAAACAACTGATCTAGATGAAGCAAAACTAAGATATGCTGAAAAAACGATAAACTTGAAGCAAAGGATTCTGGCTATAAGAAAAAAATTATAATGGTTGATTTACAAAAATGTCTTCCAACTCCATATTTAACCAATGGACAGAGTTTTTATTTGAGGAATTTATGGACGCTCAACATTACATTAAGCGTAATGACGACCTTACTAACCTTACGCATCTTGTGTATTAAAATGGACCCTACATTTTAAAGAAGCAGAATCTAATATTGAAGAATTAAGTATATGGTAATTGTGCTGGACAGATTGGAAATTTTATGATATTTACTTTGTTACTTTGTGGCTGTTGAAAAAAATGACAAATTTAAAAATAATAAACCACAACATTTTTGAAAGTCACATCTACATGGAAGTAGACAGTGATCATTGTATTATTGAAAAAGCAAAAAAAAAAATTGTACATTTAAGAATAATGACACCAAGGGATTGGCGACAATTTATTAGGTCTTGCAAAAACAAAAGCCTTTTTGTGGTAACAAAAATGGAGCTTGAATATTTTTTGAATTGTCAATGTCTTTACAATTCTAAAAATTCTCGATTAATATACAAAAGAAAAGATTTCTGAAATTGTTCATTTACGTTTAGAGAAAAAAAAGGAAGAACTATTAATGTTTAAAACAGATTTTGCTTAATAAAGAATTTAAAATTGTCCTTAAACAGAACAACTAGAAGTTCAGTTTGGCCAGAACATTTACCACAAGTAACAAGTAAGCCTAAGCCTATAAGTAAATTACAATATCAAGATTTACAAACAACTCTTAAGAATATTTCATGACTTATCTAAACATGAAATATGATGATAAAACTTCTAATTACCCAGAATAAATCTAGTCAGTTATTATAATAATAAGAACTAAATATTCATTAATCATTACTATGTTATTTTATAAAAAACAAGTTTCCTATTTATTTCAAAGTATTATAATATAAATTTTAATTTTGATTTATTTGTGTTCTTATTTTATTTAGTTATATTATGTGGGTACCACACGATTGCGTACGATGTATCTTTTTGAAAACACGATTGCGTACATTAACACGATTGCGTACGTTAAGCCATTAACTTTAATATTTACCCCAAAAGTCAAACGATTGCGTACGATTTACTGTGCAACGTTGCCAAATTTATGTTTTTATTTGTGATCAGTAAAATTTAAATATTGGAAAAATTACTTAAGTTATGGTACCACTTAAAAATCAATTTTCGACAAATATGTTATGATATAGTATACAAAATTAAAAATTTTAAAATAATAAAATGTTAAAATAATATAATAAAAAATATTATATCTTGGTACCACTTAAATAACACATTTTTGACAAATATGTTATAATATTTTTATGAATTTTGTACTTGTTATATTCTTTCATGACTTCTTTTACACCAATTAAATCAGCATTTTCCATTTTTTTAATCCCACCTTTAAATACTGATTGAATTTTCGTACATGTTTCCACTTGCGTTTCTTTTAGAATTGAAATAACTACATGGACAGAAGGATGGGAGCTATGAAATTGAGCGTTGTAAGTTCGATGAAAACTTTCAGATCCATTTGTCGTACTTAAAAAAAAATAAAAATAAATACAAAATCATAGTTATTATAGCAATTATATAGTTGAATATTTACTGAGGATTTTCGGATGGCTCTTGTGCCCAAATTTCTGGTGGAAATAAACAACCATTCTCCACGTATGTATTTAAAATGTAGTCAGAAAACAAACATCCAATATTTAAATCGGGACAAATTGATATGAGTTCACCAAACGCATTTTGAATATCTTGAAAAGGTAAAAATGGTAATCCAAAAAAAAGTTTTAACCATTTTCCCAAATCGGAGTTTTTAGTGTAGGCCAAACAAAGTTCTTTTTCAGAATTAATCTACAAAATAACGCAAATAAATTGATCTATTGATTTTAATTTATTTAATTCAATAAACTCACTTTGCGCCACCAAGACTGTCCTAAGTGAAATCGACATGCATCTATTTCGATGTTTGGGAAAACTTCTTTTGCCGCTTCATGGGCACTGATTTCAAAATCCAAATGTAATTTAAGAACCAATAAATTTTTAAAAACAATTTTTTCGCATAGTTCTTGTAAAAACAACCACATTTCTACGTAGATTTTTTTTTGATTTATTTGGTAATAAAAATTATGCCACTGGTACATAAAACCATTGATTATAAATACTATAGATAGCTCACTGCAGCATAAAATACGCTGCGTGGAAATAATTTCCGATAGAGCGCGATAAGCAATTTTGTCTACAATAAAATTAGATATTATTTATTTCCTAATCGACCACCGCGCCGCCGCATCATCGTTGCCGGCCGTCGTCGCACGTAATCGTCAACTGTCGTCGCGTGTCGACCCGCGACCCGCACTCTCCAGTCAAACAGTTTGTGCCCCCAGACCGACGCGCGGAAACTTTCCATTATGAGATCACATAGCTTACGATAATTTTATTTAGTTGTAAAAAATTGTGTGAATTACGATTTTCGATCTTTTTTCATATCTCTCATTAAATATTATGAGTATGATTGTATTAAATGTTGAGCTCTTAATATCAAAAGAATAAAATACTATGACGGAAAACTTACAAAAAACCAGAAATGTCCAATATTTTCTAAGTCTTATACTGAGCTCAAAATGGATTAATAATTTTGAAATTTTTAATGAGTACGCACGTTAGGTAGTTGGTAAAAGTTCCAAGTTTCTAATTCTATTATATTGTTGGAGTTATGGCTAAAAACTAAAATAGATTTCACGAAAATCCTGAATACTGCATATTCCCGTTTTTTGTCAATTTTTCGGTAGTTATCGCCCACGCTTGGAAAAACTATTGAGAAATTCAAAAAATGAGCTCCTAAAAGTACCATCTCGAGAAAATTTCTGATTTATAAAGTTGCTGGACGAAACTTGGTTTTCTACCCGAAGTGTCTTATATACCGATAATATGCGAACTGATATACCGATCTAGTACCGACGAAGACCGCAAACTTCGGTCTATTTTTTTTATAACACGTTAGCACATATTTAAATCTAACTAGTTCTCCTTGTATTGAATTTGGTGGAATACGAATAAGGTACTATAGGAAACAAACAAAACTTTTTTAATGTAGTGTCTTAAAAAATTATAAAGTGTTATTGTTATACCTATAAAGAAATAAATTACATGCTTATAATATTTATAATTATACAATTAATAATTGAAACACTTTAAAACATTATATAAATTATTAATTATAACAATGCTAATTATTATTTATTATTTATTACTTATTTACATACATTACATTATTTATTTTCAAATATTTTTAATTTTGCGTTATTACTTGCATTTTTTGAAATGAATTCGCCTTTACCCATTTACACTCTTTATATATACGTGTTGTTAGTAAAAGTTTTACTAAATATAAATAATGTTCCTTGCATTTTAATTCTTCGAAGTTTGATATTTTTTTATTTAATTGTCTCTTGATTTCGTTTAACATTACTTTAGCCACTCCTTTTTCACTTTTTATTTCATCAAATAGCTTTTTAAAAACTTCTAGACTAATATTGCATATTAATATTAACAAACTAGAAGGATTTTTTAAGCCTTGACTACAATTTTCTTCAACATATTCAAAAGTTTTCAATAATATTAATAATTGATTAGGTTCATTTAAATTTTTTTCAGTTGTAAGATTAGCTTCGCAATTTTTACACTGAAAAAAGTCAATACAACGCTTAGCCAAGTACCCAGCAAAATAAACAACGGAACATTCTTCCAAGTTTACTTTTTTTACTGTTTCCGTGTCAGTCATGTCTGTAAACTCTGACTCAGATGTAAATGATAAGTTAGAATCAGTTGAGTCCACGTCTGAGGCTTTGAAACAACAATTGTCTGGTATTGGGTCTTTAATTGTATTGTTAATTTCCAAGTCAGATAAAATATCAACAGTTAAATAATTGTCTGAATCTGTTTCACAATTACACTTTTCTGAAACTTTCATCAATGAAAAAGTACAAATACTTGCAACGCAACTACGGAATATTCTTGCCGTTGGATTACGAGTGTACCCATTTTTTTGTCTCATAATAGAGAACATGTTTTCTAAAGGATCTTGATTTACTCGGTTTGTTAACAAAAAATATGATTTATTTTCTTCGTCGTAATTTTTTTCATTTTCGTATAATAGTTTTATCGCAGTTAGTGACCACACCATCCCTGAAAAACACGGTGGTACTGACATTGTATTTGTCTTGTGATTGATCTTTTTTGCGTCCCGAAAAGTTGATATTGATTTATTTATATTTACAAAAATATGAGTATTTTTAGAGTTCATTGGACGCCTATTTCGATTAATATCATACAAATTTTTGCTGTTGCACGCGTCAAATGTATTGTTCATTTCGAGTAAAAAGTCGGCTGTGTCTTTAGCTGTTTTTGATTTTAATTGACCGGTGATAATAGATGTTTTAATAGCTGATGAAACGTTATTACTAAAAATTTGTAGAGCTAGTTTGCACGACATTTTCTGAAATGGGTTGGGATGTAAATGGGACGGCGATATTTTACACATAGCACGAGCTTTGGTACTTAGTGAATCGAGTTCGTAGGTTTTTATGACATCTTTAAAAACTATTTTTTTATTTTTTATTTGAATATCGCCGTTTAATAAATTGTTTCTAATACTCTTAAATATGTGTGGTATATCATAAATTAAGTATAGTTTTTTACCGTGTATTTCTGTTGTTGGGTTCGTTTCAGTACCTCCCAGTAAAGGAACAATTTCCTATTTTGAGATCCTTGGTCACATATTAATGCCGTGGGCAATAGTCCAATATTTAAAATTTCTTTAACTGAATGTTGTAATAAAGTATCTAAATCATTACCCTTAACACCATTAGAAGTTAAAAAATAACATAATGGAAATTTCCAATTAGTGTATAGCCCTCTTACCATAATGACTAGAGCATGTTTGGCCAATTTTGGAGATCGGCCTAATGGACCCAAGTCTTCAAAGCCCTCAATTATATCAAGAGTTTTGTTATACTCTATACATTTCATTATTGCCATCTCATCAAATAATATGACACACCGTTTATCAATATAGGTCATCGTTGTAACTTTTAATTTCATTTGATCTAAATAATTTTGAATGAAACCGGGTACATAATCAATAGATTTTAACCATCGACGTACAGTACTTTCGGCCGGAAGGACTATACCATTTCTCCTTAAGAATTTGTATGTTGAAGACGATTTATAATAAAGGGACATTGATAATTTTTTTTCTGATTTTGACCACGGGCGACGGTTTTTATGCAAAACTTGCATAGTCATAATGGCTTTTGAGTTAATTGAATTAAATTTAGTATTGTTGAAAAATTGTTCAATATATTTTTTTTTAACATTTTTTTTTTCATTTTTTTTTT